GTTCGTTCAAACATATGTTCTTTGCTTTGCACGTTGTTTTTTCTGGAAAAGCTGCTAGATGCTCCGAAACGTCAAGGAGACAGGGCCATTCCAAATCTGCTCCAACAGCTCAAAATGTCTTGACCAAAGTGCGACCACTGTGACCATTCCCATGTCGCAGGTCATTGTCACACTGAGCTGGTGGCTGAGCGGTCAAAGAAGTACGTTGCCGTATGGCTGCCTACAGGGCCAAAGGTCAAAAGTGCTGTTTCAAGGTGCCCAAAACAGCACCTTGTTCCAAGGCACTTTAGCACATTGTTCCAAGCGCCATTGGAAGGTGTTCATCTTGAGTTAGGCTGAGGCTGCAACTACACTGATAATGCTAAAGGATAGCCTGAAGAGCCGAAGTACACGAAGTGCGAGAACACAAAAGTCTCTTCAAAAAGACCCAACAAACAATGTGGGTTGGAGGCCATCGCTATTAGGCTGGAGGCTGTTAGAGGCCATTGCTATTAGGGTGGAGGCGTTCGCTCTTAGGTTGGAGGCTCACTAGCAGGTTGGAGGCCATCGCTCTTAGGAACAAGGGTAAACCTCAGTGGGAACTATATCGCCAGAACCACAATGCAGGCCTCTTCAGGGATAAGGACACCCGCCGCTGCCTCAAATTCTGAGCCTGCTCTTCTCTCCAATTGAAAGAGCTGCGGAGCTGGATTGATCTAAGCTCATGGCAACTCGAGATTGCTGGGATCACTATCGCTTAGCTTGATCAATTCGTCCAGGACATGCTGGGGCTGACCTCACAAATTGATCCCTCGTCAAGACACAAATTTGGGACAGCTCCGAGGTCGCTGCATATGGAATTCTCACAAAGCCTCTGTCAAAATCATCTTGGGAGTGTTCTTTCAAAAAACTTGACGCCGCACCTTTGGAGAGCATCACAAAGCACCTGAAAGACCTGGAGAAACGAACGAATCATGAGGCCATCGCTACTAGGTTGGAGGCCATCGCTACTAGGTTGGAGGCCATCGCTACTAGGTTGGAGGCCATCGCTACTAGGTTGGAGGCCATCGCTACTAGGTTGGAGGCCATCGCTACTAGGTTGGAG